ATAGATAAGCACTCAGCAACAAAAGAAACTGATTATCAAGCTGTACAAAATTAATCACTGTTACTAAATAAATCAATAAAAATGGTGTTTGTGCCCTTTGTCAATTCATAGTCTCCAAACACTTAAACTAAAAGAGGCTAATAATGATAGAAAAGACTAAATTCTTTTATTCTTCAGAATATTATGCATCATACAGTTTGGTTATAACTAAACCAACATTGAAAATTATACGTGGACGACCAAGAGGGAATAATTTTATGAGAAAATGCAAATAAATCAATTACTCATAGAGTAAATAAAAATTACAAACAAATGTTTAAACATGCCATACTTCAATTTATATACAATACTGATTGAATGACAGGAATATCTAGAACCCAGTGGAAAGTCATATTCCCTTTCAAACTAAAAAAGGAAATAATCTCATTTAAGAGTATTTGTCAATGATGTGGAAAATAAATTGATCATCGTTAGCAGTTATTTTTGCGACACTATAATTTATGGACGAACTAATCAGATATAAGATAAAAGGTCACGGATTTTGACATGAGATTCACTCATCCATTTGGCTAAATATCATTTTGACATTATAGCTGATGTCAGTTCGTGATGAAAACCTTAAGTCTAATTTCTAACTCATAACTATCAACTGTAAATTATAATTTTCATTACTCACACTGATTTAGAACCCTCATTTATCCTTAGTTATTAGATGGATACTCTCAAAGGTTGTTCATAAATTATAGTCTCACCGTTATTTTAATAATGATTGTGCAGTTAGTTAGCCATTCATTCACTCCAAATAATTTAACACAATATCTCTTACCAGAGCATTGAATCTTTTTGCTTTCAATTCATCAATAATGATATAAGTAACTTTCTATAAACAACTTATTTAATCAATTCAAACAAGCCTTTTTGTCCAATTGCAAAGTACATTGATGAATTTAAACTAAATACACATATTATACATATAGCTTTAACGTAAATGTCTAAAAAACTCACATATTACTGTGTAAATCCGAACACAATACCTTTTAGGATATATATATATATATATATATATATATATATATATATATATATATATGTCATGTGAACTAATATTCTGATTGGCTGATTACATTTTTCCCAGAAATTTTTTAAACTTTCTATTAGCTGCACTGAATTAAAGTGTTTAGTATCTATATCGAATCTTAATTTCATCTCGATTAGTCAGTCAGTAATTCTACCAGTAAGCATACGTAATGTAGAATGTAGCATAGATTAACCTCAGTTTAATTTACTAATCCACAAGAACATAATGAAATTTCAGAGTAATATATGTAGTAACAGTATTTATGGTAGAATAGATTGAAGAGAGAAAGCTTGAATTGAGAAGAAAAAATATAGATTAATATAATGAAGTTAGGTATTATGAGGTCTAGCTCCTAAACACTTTTCTCAAATCTTTGGAAAGACATTCTGGAACATATTTTGGTATGTGTTGAAAGTTAGTGTTAGTTATTACCAATTCACCTTGTTCCAAAAGATCATATGTACAAAGTAGATTTATCTAAAGCTAACAAGAAGTGAATGTCTTATATTTTAAACTTACAAAACATGTTTGAAAACCGTGAGTATTTGTCAGAGTTTAGCTGTATAAAAAATAATCTTTATATATCGAAAAGAAATACTTATATTTTGAAGTTATTTAAACTATGTCGAAAGCATATAAATGTATATAACCTATCTACGTATTGAGCGAATTCGTGACAATAAACTACTCATCAATATGAAGTTGTAGAGATTGTCTGATTTCATTGAAATCACAAACCGGTCTAAATTAGACAACCATCAGAAACCCGAAAAAATATAGAGGACTGTTTCGTTCAAGCATGGAACTCCTCAGTATTGAGCATCGATGACCACGAATCCAAGGATCAAACCTAGGGCCATTAGTCTTGCGCGTAAATACCTAACCTTTAAATTCCATCTCAATGGTCTAGATGTTAGACATTAATGGATGCTCACAGCTCAGAAGTTCTCGATTAGGACTAAAAGGCTGTCCAGTGCTTTCAAGTTTTCTAAGGTTTTCTTTATTAGATCGATTCGTGATTTCAAAAAAATAAATTCAACAATCGTTATTTTTGTTCAAATTTATTTCGTTGATTGTTAGTTAATCATATTAGCTTATTAAATAAATAATGTAAACGGAAAAAGAAATCAAATCAACCACAATATACCAAGATATTATTTATATCAAATTCGTTTCATCTTCTAATCTTATCTCATGTAAATGTTTTCAATCAGAACAGGATGAAAATGTTTTATTGACAACGAAATGTTATTTCCGTTTGTCAAAATAAAACAAGTATAGTCAAAGAAGACAATGATTCTAGAAGGAAGGAAAATATATGATATGGGTCATGGAATAAAATTATTTATACGTAAGCGTGTACTTTTGATGCTTGAATAAAGCGACATACGAATATTTCTTTCGATGAGTTCTAATGAAAATTGTCAAACTGTAAATATGTTTATAGTTCATTCAATTAGTACACTGAAGGAAGTCATAAAAACGTTATTTAACAAAATTTGGTATAAATTAGTTTTATCCCCTTCGAAATACTTTGATGTGTAGCAAAACACATATCTCATCTATTATTCAAAGCATCTATGAACGTTCTCATAACTTATTCTCTTCAGCTGTTTTGTCATTTCTCACTACGACTCAGTGGTTTAGTGGTCAAGAGGTCGCGCGCGCGACTGATAGGTCCTGTAATAGGATTGTCTATACGTCCAGATTTCTTTTTGTTATCTTTATCTGTGCTATAAAATTAGTACTTGATGATAGTTAATATTGGTGAATATTACTATTTGAAAATTAACATTACAAAGTTCATTCTTCACTTAAATCGCATAAATTCGATGATTTCATTTAAATATTATCATATAGCGTAATACTACTTTGAATGTATAGCTCATTTCTCTTTTTTGGGAAATATATTGAAATACATTTAGCTAAATGGATATTAAAAGACATCTTCACACCTTCATACTAAAACTGTGATTTAATGTTCACAGTAAGTTGAAACGAATTAGTATTTTATTCAGTTGTTTGGTATTTGGGTGTAATCGACTGAAAACTCGACTTGACCTAGAGTTTTTGTTAATTGATAACACTTAGCAGGGGTTCAAAGTTACACAATGAAAATGATCAATTGTTGAGACATTAATCCGAACATTCCATTACAATTATCCACGATAATGACAGCATCTATTGATGATATTCATGAACGGTTAACAGAAAATGAAATTTCATTTTTGGTACTAGTCAATTATTGAACGCGATCGTAGATATCATAAACATGAAAAGAATTACTACCACTTTGTCCGTTCAAACATTGATTTACAATGTACTTTTGACGGAACTAGATATAAAATGTCAAATGTTTGAGTGAAATTACATTCTATGTTTAATTTAATTATTAATCATCGGATTCCGAAACTGACATCTTTAAACATTGAATATATATTTACTTACTTACTTACTTACGCCTGTTACTCCTAATGGAGCATAGGCCGCCGACCAGCATTCTCCAACCCACTCTGTCCTGGGCCTTCTTTTCTAGTTCCATCCAATTCTTGTTCATTTTTCTCATGTCCGCCTGGAGTCCCTTCGGGGGCTACTGCCGGTCCCAAGCCCGGATAAAAGAGGAGGGTTGAGCATGGGGTTAACGTCCCCATCCCATAGAAAACTAACTCGCTAAAAAAACGCTAACCAGAAAAAATTATTCAAACCTTTTTAACTCTGTCCTGGGAGTCAGAAGGTCTTCATTTAGAAGAACTATGACGCCTCATGATGAAAGCCGAATTCCTTCGGAAGTTACGAGGCCGATGCCCCTTCTGACAACCAGAGCAACCATTTATTTAGGATATATATTTAGCTATATGAAACAAACAGTTATTTATTGTCGATCAGAACATAATAGAAGGAGGTACACTTTGATTGTAATAATGAAGTGTTTTGTAGATATTTATGACGTAATTTCAATTAATAACACTCACTGATTCATTTATAAGTTTTAAATATTGACCCTAATTTAATGTCTATTAAAAATAATTGTTCACTTTATTGCTCTTTTTCTAATACTCTATAGGGATATATAAGCTGTCAAAGAACTGTTAAGGCAACTTGACATCGTACGTTTTGAAATAATTTACACTTCACACGCGAGACCAGAGGTCCTGGTTTAGAGTCTTGCATGCGGAGTCGTGGATGCGCACTGCTGAGGAGTCCCATAATAAGATGAAACGGCCGTTCACTGCTACCAGATTCTCAATGGTGTTCTAAAATTGATCCATTCATGATATCAATCTATACTCAAAAATCTTCACAACCATATACTGATAACTTTCAAATAATTGTAATGTCAACAAATTACATTTTATTGATATTTTATTAAATACACTAGAAAATAATTTAAATAATCGAAAGTTATAAAAGAAGAGCTAATCAGTTCATCATCAAGCCAACTTAATACAAAACAGAGACGAAAAAATTTAATGAGTTTCCAGTGAACATTGTAATGAAGACTGAGAGGATGATTCAAAGTCAAGATAACTATCAGCTCTGAATGTTTCTAGAAGCTGGTTTCCGGTCAGAATGGTAGTTGATGAATTATAAGATAAATATTATCTACGCATATGATTTCAGTAAAACATCGAGTAGTGAGAAATGACAAAACAGCTGAAGAGAATAAGTTATGAGAACGTTCATAGATGCTTTGAATAATAGATGAGATATGTGTTTTGCTACACATCAAAGTATTTCGAAGGGGATAAAACTAATTTATACCAAATTTTGTTAAATAACGTTTTTATGACTTCCTTCAGTGTACTAATTGAATGAACTATAAACATATTTTGTTATAACTCTGTTTTCTTACGGTTAATGACCCAGCTATTCCTATTGCTTAGTATTCTCGGACACCGATTCACTCGACAAGTCCCCAAATCAGAACACGGTTGAACAGGGAAAAGATTATATTCCAAATAGCAAGTCAGAAGCCAGTAGGAAGCACAATAGGGGAAAACGTCGGTATATTTATAGTTTTTACATAAGAAGATTCCAGAATATTCTCCGACTATCGACTAGTGCTGATTGGATAAGAATCAGCCAATCAGCGTGCACTAAAACAATCATGCATTGAGCATGCTTTAATCTAGTCTATGTCCCGCTAACACCTCCCCTCTGAGCAGATTCGTAGGATCTGGTGCTAGGGTCCAACTGCAACTGAGTGACTGGCTTGTGCTTTCGATTAGTCCATCGTCTAGGCAATGAAGAATTATCACTTTTTCCTTGCACAGAGACTGACATGTCTGTTCCCGGCGTTTTGATTTTTCTTAAAAAAAAAGTATGCATAACTTTTAATTCTCCAACATTCTCCTCCTCCTCGAAATAATGTTGGGTCCTTATGGCTCCAAATTATAACTAGTAGGACTTTATTTAAACCATGTTTCTCGTATTGACTGGAGAATCCACTAAAAATGACTAGATGATGATGAACAACCTTTGATCTGAGTTCATTATTTTCAAATTCATTATGAATCTCGTTAGCTGATAACGAGTCATTAAGAAAGTCAACGTCTAACAGAATTAGATTAGATTTTTGGCCATCATTCGACTCAGCTGACATATTTCCCTCATTGTTATAAGAAGGTTCATCAAAATCATATGCATTATTCTGAGAATCAATATCTGGTACACTGTCATTAGAAATGGGATAAGTTGACTCAATATAAAATTCTGTCTTCCGGTGATTTTGAGTAACATCTGGTACTATTTGGTTCATCGTGTTGCTCCAGTTATTTTTTGAATACGAGTCACCATAGCTTTCTCGACTAATAGCACGTGGACCACAATTTTGTTCGAGCTGACGTTTATTTTCGCAGCTAGACAGTACCAGTAGTGTTTCATTTGATTCTGGACTCCGGGCTTCATCTACAGGACCTGACTCCTGATCATCTGGTATTGTCACAACTTCATGTGCATTCAGCACAGTATTTTCTTGCTGTGAGCCGGACACGTTACAAATATTACGTTCTGATTCAGGTATAAAGGGATTTGAACCCTCCACTAGATATGCTTCTGAAATGTCTGTTACTGCATCATAAACAGATTTCTTATTTTCTGGTCGAGTGAAAAGTGTGTTCAATAGTTGTTGTTGCAAGGCTAACAACTTCTGCTGGTGCTGTAATATTAACCGCAACTGTTCTAAAGAAATCGCCATTTTTCTTTAGCTTTTCCCCGTCGCCACTGTTATAACTCTCTGTTTTCTTACGGTTATGACCCAGCTATTCCTATTGCTTAGTATTCTCGGACACCGATTCACTCGACAAGTCCCCAAATCAGAACACGGTTGAACAGGGAAAAGATTATATTCCAAATAGCAAGTCAGAAGCCAGTAGGAAGCACAATAGGGGAAAACGTCGGTATATTTATAGTTTTTACATAAGAAGATTCCAGAGTATTCTCCGACTATCGACTAGTGCTGATTGGATAAGAATCAGCCAATCAGCGTGCACCAAAACAATCATGCATTGAGCATGCTTTAATCTAGTCTATGTCCCGCTAACATATTTACAGTTTGACAATTTTCATTAGAACTCATCGAAAGAAATATTCGTATGTCGCTTTATTCAAGCATCAAAAGTACACGCTTACGTATAAATAATTTTATTCCATGACCCATATCATATATTTTCCTTCCTTCTAGAATCATTGTCTTCTTTGACTATACTTGTTTTATTTTGACAAACGGAAATAACATTTCGTTGTCAATAAAACATTTTCATCCTGTTCTGATTGAAAACATTTACATGAGATAAGATTAGAAGATGAAACGAATTTGATATAAATAATATCTTGGTATATTGTGGTTGATTTGATTTCTTTTTCCGTTTACATTATTTATTGAATGAGCTAGTATGATCGGTCCAAAGCCCGAATACAGGAGGAGGGTTGGGCATGAGGTTAGCGTCCCCATCCCATAGAAAACTAACTCGCTAAAAAAACGCTAACCAGAAAAAAATTTCCAAACCTTCAAAACTCTGTCCTGGGAGTCAGAAGGTCTTCATTTAGAAGAGCTATGACGCCTCATGATGAAAGCCGAGTTCCTTCGGAAGTTACGAGGCCGATGCCCCTTCTGACAACCAGAGCGACCATTTATTTAGGTACATGGAATGTTCGTACAATGTGGGACACTGGGAGAGCCTTCCAAATTGCTGCAGAAATGAGAAGATACAACCTAGAGGTACTTGGGATCAGTGAAACACATTGGACACAAGTTGGACAACAACGACTAACTACAGGAGAGCTCCTGTTATACTCCGGCCATGAAGAAGAAAATGCTCCACATACACGAGGAGTTGCATTGATGCTGCCTAAACAAGCGCAAAATGCGCTTACAGGATGGGAATCTCATGGACCAAGGATCATCAAGGCCTCCTTCAAAACAAAGAAAGAGGGTATTTCAATGAACATCATCCAATGCTATGCGCCTACCAACGACTACAATGAAGAGGCTAAAGATCAATTCTACAATAGGCTGTAGTCAATCATCGAGAAGTGCCCAACAAAGGACCTGACAGTTCTGATGGGAGATTTCAATGACAAGGTTGGAACGGACAACACTGGATATGAAGACATCATGGGACGACACGGACTGGAAGAAAGGAACGAGAATGGTGAGAGATTTGCAAACTTATGTGCCTTCAATAAACTGGTCATAGGCGGCACCATATTTCCACATAAACGCATACACAAAACCACATGGACTTCACCGGATCACTCTACACAAAACCAAATCGACCATATTTGCATCAATGAAACGTTCAGGAGGACTATAGAGGACGTGAGAACCAAGAGAGGAGCTGATATAGCATCAGATCATCACTTGCTGGCGCCAAGATGAAATTGAAACTCAAGAAGCACTGGACAATGGGGCGGACAATATCACAAAAGTTCAATACGGCCTTTCTTCAGGATACTAACAAACTCAACAAATTCAAGATAGACCTCAGCAACAAGTTCTAGGCCTTTCATGATCTACTCAATGGAGAAGGAACTACTGTGGAGAGCAACTGGAAAGGGATCAAAGAGGCAATCACTTCAACATGTCATGAGGTCCTGGGCCACAAGAAGCACCATCACAAGGAATGGATCACTGTTGATACACTGGATAAGATTCAAGAAAGGAGGAACAAGAAAGCAGCAATCAATACCAGTCGAACAAGAGCAGAGAGAGCCAAGGCACAAGCTGAATACACAGAAGTAAACAAACAAGTGAAGAGGAGCATCAGAACCGACAAACGTAAATATGTGGAAGATTTAGCAACGACGGCGGAAAAGGCTGCAAGAGAAGGAAACATGAGAGAACTGTATGACACGACAAAGAAACTCTCTGGGAATCGCCGCAAACCAGAACGACCAGTGAAAAGCAAGGAAGGCGAGGTAATCACCAACATTGAAGAGCAACAAAACAGGTGGGTAGAACACTTCAAAGAACTCTTGAATCGACCAGCTCCACTGAACCCACCCAACATCGAAGCAGCACCCACGGACCTCCCAATCAATGTTGGCCCACCAACAATTGAAGAAATCAGCATGGCCATCAGACAAATCAAGAGTGGCAAAGCAGCAGGACCGGACAACATCCCAGCAGAGGCACTAAAAGCAGACGTAGCAGTAACTGCAAGGATACTCCACATCCTCTTCAGCAAGATTTGGGATGAGGAACAAGTACCAACAGACTGGAAAGAAGGACTTCTGATCAAAATACCGAAGAAAGGCGATCTCAGCAAGTGTGATAACTACAGGGGCATCACTCTTTTCTCAATACCGGGAAAAGTCTTCAACAGGGTATTGTTAAACAGGATGAAGGACTGCGTACACGCCCAACTTCGTGACCAACAGGCAGGATTACGTAAGGATAGATCGTGTACAGACCAAATCGCAACTCTACGGGTCATTGTGGAACAATCAATTGAATGGAATTCATCAGTCTACATCAACTTCATTGACTACGAAAAGGCATTTGATAGCGTGGACAGAATAACACTATGGGAACTTCTTCGACACTACGGCGTGCCTCAGAAGATAGTCAATATCATACAGAGTTCATATGTTGGATTACACTGCAAAATCGTGCATGGAGGACAGTTGACAAAGTCGTTCGAAGTGAAGACCGGTGTTAGGCAAGGTTGCTTACTCTCACTCTTTCTCTTCCTCCTGGTGATCGACTGGATCATGAAGACGTCAACAGCAGCCTCAGCAGCAGTAGGTCTCAATATACACAAAGGGAAAAGCAGGATTCTCCGATACAACACAGAATGCACCAATCCAATCACAATTGACGGAGAAGATTTGGAAGATGTAAAAACCTTTACATATCTGGGCAGCATCATTGATGAACAGGGTGGATCTGATGCAGATGTGAAGGCGCAGATCGGAAAAGCAAGAGCAGCATATTTACAACTGAGGAACATCTGGAACTCAAAGCAACTGTCAACCAACACCAAGGTCGGGATTTTCAACACAAATGTCAAGACAGTTCTATTATAAGGAGCAGAAACCTGGAGAACTACGAAAGCCATCATCCAGCAGATACAGGTGTTTATTAACAGTTGTCTACGCAAAATACTTCAGATCCGTTGGCCAGACACTATTAGCAACAACGTACTGTGGGAGAGGACAAACCAGATCCCAGCGAAGGAAGGAATCAGAAAGAAGCACTGGAAGTGGATAGGACACACATTGAGGAAAGCACCCAACTGCGTCACAAGACAAGCCCTCACATGGAATCCTCAAGGCCAAAGGAGGAGAAGAGGAAGACCAAAGAACACATTACGCCGAGAAATGGAAATAGACATGAGAAAAATGAACAAGAATTGGATGGAACTAGAAAAGAAGACCCAGGACAGAGTGGGTTGGAGAATGCTGGTCGGCGGCCTATGCTCCATTGCGAGTAACAAGCGTGAGTAATATATATATATATATATATATATATATATGGTAAGTAGTCTGTGCTAAATTAGTAAGTGTTGAATTTCAACTTAGCGTAAACATATAAATTTACACACTACACAAACTGGAGTACAAATGGGAAATGCATGCTGTAAACTTTATTGTTTAGAACATAGTATACAACTAAATGGTTTGATACTAACTATTGAATTCTTTAATCAACAAGATAGTATGTTTAATACAATTTTCTCCAGCAAAATTCCGGAAAATACGCATTAAATGTTTCATTTATAGATTTAGGACCTAATGTTATTGATGAAGTGAGAACTGATCCACACAAACAACTATTTCATCCAGAACAAATAATCACAGGAAACGATGCGACAAGTAATCATCCTCGAGGCCACTATACGGTTAGCAAAGACAGTATTGGCCTGGTTCTGGATCGCATTAGAAGATCTGCTGATCAGTGTACGGCCCAGGACAGAGTGGGTTGGAGAATGCTGGTCGGCGGCCTATGTTCCATTAGGAGTAACAGGTGTAAGTAAGTAAGTAAGTAAGTAAGAGCTAGTATGATTAACTAACAATCAACGAAATAAATTTGAACAAAAATAACGATTGTTTAGTTTATTGTCATGAATTTGGTCAGTAAACAGGCAACCAGTATACAAATTGGAGATACCATATCCGCAAATACAATATATGAAGAATAAAATCAATCTTAAAATTCGCGCATTGATATTAAGTGACTTTATTTGTACTAGATAATTCAACGTAAATTTTCTTGATTGATTCAATGAATTTTCAACTACATTAGATTCATCATAAGCCAAGATGGATGGTGACTAACAGTGGAATTCAGGACGTGTTTTTCGTCTTGTTTGAGATTTGTCAGTTGGATGTATCTGCACCCGAGATAATGTTCACTCCAGGACTCGAACCCAACACCGTCCGTTCCAAACGACTTTGTGTTATCCACTTAGCTCTTGAATCCTGATGGCCATTTCTTTGTGCAATGGGGTGAAGCTTTAGTTCATTTTGTATTATTTGTTTTAATCTTCTCACTGATGTCTAGGACTGTAATTAGCCAGGACATGCATTTGACGAGTCCCAAATAGGAGGAAACGCACATCCTGTATCCCACTCCAAGCCACAATCCATCTTTTCCTATAACGCTTGCGACTTAAGGCGACATCGAGGCAATCAGCCAATAAGAGACTGATCAATTACGGTCCTAAACATCATTCAGAAAATTCAAACAAATAAAACAAAATGATTTATATTAGATTATTTTAGTATGCGGGTAGTTATTCAGTTGCAATCTTTTTTCAACGTAACAATTAATTCACTGTGATCTTATTTTCAGTGGTAACTATTCAGTTTGGTCGAATTCTGTAGTTCATAATCACTGATTTGATCGATATATGATTGCATAAACGTAAGTGTAATCTGACTCTTTTAGGAGTCACTATCAAGAAAAGCTTTTATACACTTGAACTTCTCACTTTCATTAGATGGATGGAAAGTAGGTTTCTTCATTATGTTGAAGTCGGGGTTGTGAATATCTAGAGTGGTGTGCAATTGTATCAATGTAATTTTTATGGAATTGAAATGACTTCAAAACACACAAAAGATTTAGTTTTGCCTTAGATGGTTAACTACTTACCATAATAAATAAGTAGTAAGTGTAATAACAAATAGATTTCTCGTAGTCTCCCAATGAGTAGGAAATAGCATTTCTAACGTTTCGTGACTTAGCTCAATCCATTTCTTCAAAGTAAATAAATAGTTCAAAATTTACTGGGTCGTCACTAAAGGATATTTATTACTAACTTTATTTATTGGAAACTATCAAGTCCAACCTTGGTATTGGTACCTAAAAATAGTTAAGGTATTTTTCTCAAAGTTTAAAATGCCAATGACACATGAATTAAACAATACAACTGTATGTAATACATTGTGAATGATATAAAACTTTAGTTAAATCAAGTGGATTTTATGTGAGTGTGTTTATGACAGACTTTATTACTCACATTCTTAACCTGAATCTTTACTGGTTTGTTATACTGTTTCAAATGTATGGAGTTTATTCTACCCGGTCCAGCACCAATTTGAGTTTTGAACATAAGCGATTTCTGATAATAACACTGGGTTTTGGCGGGTAACATTAATTGTACGGCCATTTTTTTATCGAGTGAAAATCTGATTTGCATAATGTTAGTAATCAAAGAGATATGATTTCATAACGAATTATTCATCAAAATTGTTTAGGAATTTTAGGGTTTAAAACTTTGATGAACATATTCGACAAGGTAAGTGGGGACGCATATTCTCGTGGAGACAATTACACAGACTGAAAATTATTACCAGGACAATCTGTCAGTCTATGTAGATTCATAAAACTTTTTACATAATATTTACATCTGAAACTGTTATTCATGTCAAACAGATCACAATTCATGTATGATATCGATATCGCCACTATCTACGAAGCGGATGTTCTGGGAAATAATTGAGTCTGATAGCCATTTAACAGTACGATTGATAAATGAATGAATCAGAAAGTTATTAGCTTGTAGCCATTTAGGTTTTATATGGGTTTTGTATCATATTAAATTTTATGTTTGCTGTGTAGTTGCCCATTTGCACATTACTGAATTCATCTTTGCCATTTTAACAACTGTACATTTTCAGTTCATTTGTGTGCAACAGGATTGTTTGAGAATATTACATACTCTTCCCTAAATTTGCAACTCTTTTTGCAAGCTTTCTGATTGCGTAGTATCAAAATAAACCTCTCATTTCATTGTGTGGTCCTCCTTAATCTGATAAAACGTCGTGTCTGTTGTACTGCAGTTTGGTCTAAGTGTTATTCGTGTGTAGGGAATTCATACGGTGCAAATAACCGAGTTCGATATCATAGGACCTATCTTGTGTGAAATATCATATAACAATAGTAATAGCTTGGCAAGATACTATTGTGGCTACTCATTATATCCTGCAGATACGACTCGCTACATGTTCACTCATCAGTAAATAAGGACTGATAATGACCGACCTTAAGAAGAAGGCAAGGCTGCATGTGAGAATTTAGTGACACTACAAATAAATCGACAGCAGATAACTAACTGATAATTTGGTCTACGTCAACGTCTAAACTAATGATAGAGTGTGAATAAGTTCAGTGTGTTGACTACTTCACTTATCACTTGGAAGTCTCATCATTCCGGGTACGTTGCCACCTGATGAGATTTCCCTACGAAGTCAGAAATCTCGACTGATCTCTGCCAACTTGCATCATTTGTGGGGTTGTAGGGATGTCCGTCTTTTTAAGTATAGGAAGTGAATACTGTCAAGCACTCCGCTTTAACACTGAACTTAAAAGTAGTAGACATGAGTAGGTTTCAAATTTTTGATCATAGGTGCCTTTGAAGCATTGTTCTCATTTCGTAGAACCACCGAGTAAACAATGTCGAGATTAAGTACGGAGTACTAAATAAAGATGGTACATCGGTTCATCAGATTATAGATCTTCAATGATTGATGTGGTTGAGACGTGTCACATATGCCTAACTACCGCTACCACATTATTCCGACCACTTTTACCCTTCATTTTGCTAGTTTCATCCCGTCGTAACAATGGGGTATGGCTACTTGGGTCAGGGCACATCTATGCCAGGATCCATGTTGATGATGAGTGACTGACTCACTGACAACCACATCAAAAATATACAATTATATATGTGATTTACTTATGTGGTTAAAAAAATCAGGTTTGTATACCCTGAGTTAGGTAGTAGTTAATATAAACTAAACAATAACTAAACACATACTTACAATCCACATTTTCAATAGATTTGAATGAATTGATTAACTGTGATACAGTTAGTTAATGCAGTCGAGATTCGATGGCCACCTATATTGTCTGAACACGTGTTAAACAAAGCTTTTGTTTGGTTTTCAGAAATTTATCAATTTATACACAATAATATTTCACTACTGTTGTCAATTTAACTTTTATCTGTGGTACGATGATGAAAAAGTATGTAAACATCAGAGGCATATTCGAATTGTATACTTTGCACAAAATAAGTCTGTAAATTTCCGTTAAATATTCGACGTAAAAAAGAAAAGTAGATAGTCTCCCTATATACTTTACTGTACCTGTAGTGAACAAGAACACAGGTGGGGACAATCGAATGTATTTAGCACGAAAATTACAGACTATTTCAATAAACTCTGAATACCATATAGTAAATCGTCAATTTGCAAAATATTAATGCATCATATCAAACTGGACTGTTTCTGTTGCAAATATTAATCCATTGTCTCCCATTCCATTACTCATGCGTTTTCTAACAAATTCCATTGTGTTTTCGTCCTTCTTTTTTTATCTTCCCCTCATCTTCTGATCAATATAAGTAGCACGCACCACATACTTTTTATTTTCAAACTTTTTTTGCTTGCTTGGGATAAGTGAATTATTGAGTCACATATTTACTCCTTCCTAACAGTATTTACATCAACAATACGGTTTGCGTGATTAATTGTCACTCGAACCCTTTTTCCATGTCAATGCAGACAAATGATAGCATGTTCACATTGTTTGATCTGTTAAAGCACATTCATTATTAATGCGATTTACTCTTAATTACTTGAATAAATCAATAGTATTATATACCCCAAACTGTATGAAAACACACATCACGAAAGTAACTTCAACCAACAAGTTGACAATTCCTTATTCCTTGTAATTTGCCTGGTTTTCACATAAAAATACAGTGAAACTACTGTAGAGAGATAAAAAAGACTGCCAGTCAACGTAAACTATGTTTGAATTAAAATCCATCCCAAGTTGCGAGGTCGTGGATATGCAGTGCTGAGGAGTCCCATATTATGATGAAAGATCTGTCCAGTGCTTCTAAGTTGTCAATGGTTTTTTAACCTAGATCGGTTGGTGATTTCAATCGAAAACAAAAATGTTATGAATTAGCCTTTTATCAAAAGACCTCTGAAAACTGTCAAAATTAATGGATGAAATCATCTGACAGACTGGTATTATACAATGTGGCTCGTTAATGGCTGTGCATGAGACCGAATTATTGACATAAGAAGAAAAAGTAGATGATTTGCAGAGTAGTTCTCCTATTAAAAAGTCGCACACCTACATAAAAAATACTGAACATGGGAATAAGCATGATTAGAGTTCATTTAACTGATAAACAATTGTAGGATATAATATATATAGGTCATTTACTCTCCAATGAAATCAACGTTTAAATTTTATATCGACATAAGTAGTATATAACGCTATTCAGGAATAGAATGTCTGGCAGCAGGAGGTCAAGAAGATCGAGGAGGAAAGAACAGGAACAGAAAGAAATTGATATGGAAATGCAGGAACAATTAAGTCTGAGACGATTGACTGATATTTGTAAAAGGAACAATCAAGTTTGAAACAATTGATTAACATTTTGCAAATTCAGTGTTTACTGTATGGTTCTCAGATATTACTAAAACGTTCTGTAATTTAGTGTTCACATATATTAGGTTGTGCCCACCAATATTCTCACTCACTACACTACTTGTTTCCGCGTTATCTCTAAACGGCGTTATTAAATACGACTAAATAACACGTCTAATAATCCACGTCTTATCCAATAGTCGAGATTATTTTTTTCCGCGAACACAACATTTTCTTTTCTATCAACATCATCTTGTTATCCAGAGAAGATTTGTCGAGAACTGCATCAATGTACACCATAACTTAGTTGAAAAGTTTGTAATTTACAGGAATCCTTGGTTTACGCTAGATGCTTGGTATTGCACCAGTCATTGAATAGTAATTATTGTTACGGTAACTAGTATTCTATTTGTTGATTTGATCACTCATAACTCTCCTACAACTTACCTTTAACCTAATCATCATCAAACACCTAAGTAGATTAGTTATTGAACATAAGTAATGTACTTCACATTCACTATAATCTATGGAGATTCACAGATTCTTCGACTGATTTTAAATTTCTTACCCGATATTCTATATCAGGTTTCAACAGTGATCATTCACATGAACGTTGGATATTACTTCATTGTAATTTATTTTAATACAAGAGAATGGAATTTCGCATAACTTACTTACGCCTGTTACTCCTCGTGAAGGAGCATAGGCCGCTCACCAGCATTCACCATCCAACCCTGTCCTGGGCAGTCCTTTCCAGTTGTTATTCATTCTTTTCATGTCTGCTTCTATTTCCCGATGTAGTCTGTTCTTTGGCCTTCCTCTTTTCCGCTTCCCTTCAGGATTCCAAGTTAGGACTTGCCTCGTGATGCAGTTCGATGATTTGAGTAATGTATGTCCTATCCATTCCCATCGTCTTTTATTAATTTCCTCTTCATCTGGAAGCTGGTTTGTTCTCTCCCACAGAAGGCTGTTGCTGATGGTATCCGGCCAATCGATGTTGAGTATCTTGCGTAGACAGCTATTTATAAATACTTGTACCTTCTTGATGTTGGTTGTTGTAGTTCTCCAAGTTTCAGCTGCGTACAGTAGAACTGCCTTGACGTTCGTATTAAATATTCTCACTTTGATATTGGTTGAAAGTTGTTTTGAGTTCCATATTTTCTTCAATTGTAGGAATGCGACCCTTGCTTTGCCGATCCTCACCTTTACGTCTGCATCTGGGCCTCCTCGTCCATCGATGATGCTTCCCAGGTATGTGGAGGATTCTACATCTTCCAGAGTTTCGCCATCAAGTGTGATTGAATTGGTGTTCTCCGTGTTGTATTTGAGGACCCTGGTTTTCCTTTTGTGTATACTGAGGCCTACTGATGCAGAGACTGCTGCTACACTGGTTGTCTTTATCTGTATTTGTTCATGTGTATGCGATAGGAGGGCTAGGTCATCTGCGAAGTCCAAATCGTTTCATTGGTTCTGAGCTATCCATTGTACGCCGTGTTTCTCCTCAAATGTCGAGGTCTTCATAATCCAGTCGACCACCAGAAGAAAAAGGAAGGGAGAGAGTAGACAGCCTTATCTGACTCCGATCCTTACTTGGAATGCATCTGTTGGCTGTCCTCCATGCATGACTTTGCAGTGTGGCCCGTTGTATGAATTCCCGATTATATTGACGATCTTATCAGGTAAAGCATAGTGTCGAAGAAGTTTCCATAATGTTCTCCTATCTACATTGTCCAACGCCTTTTCATAATCAATGAAGTTGATGTATAGTGGCGAGAATTTCGCATAACAATCTCTTATATCTTACTGTCGTATATGTAATGATTTTCAAATGTATAGCCTAGTATACATACATATGGAACATTATCAATATAAGAGAATAGGTTTCACAAGTTATTATAATTATTTGTTGAACAAATATAGCTTGCTTCTAGTTTATTACATATGAAAAAAAAGTATAATACAAATGACCTTTTAATAAAATTGATATCTTATTATGATTATTATGTTGTTGATTGTATATGATAATTAAAAGTATTCGAATTAATGTGCTAAGAATTTCCGAAGGTGTAATTTAAGGCAAGTAGGACCAAATGAACATAAATGAACGTATTATAACTAAAATTTTCTTCCTTCCATTAAACTTAGTACATGCAACTATCAAATCTTTGAGTAAAACATCAGATTGTATATGTTCTCTCAAACATTAAATATTCTCCATCGTGTTGATTTCATGGTTTGATAAATTGAATAAACAAAATCCAATGTTGACCCCGATTATCTAAACATTTAACTGAATTATATTGTTCAGAATATATATATATATATATATATATATATATATATATATATTCGAGCAGTGGGGTTAGGTAGGGTTGCCCAATCTCACCATTCCTCTTCAACTTTGCCATCGATGACATTCTGGAAACAGCTCTGATGAATGTAAGTAATGGTGGTGTGGATCTGTTGCCTGGAGAAAGACTTCTCGACCTTGAGTGTGCGTATGATATTGTCTTACTGTGCGATAATGCCCAAGGCATGCAATCCGCACTTAATCAGTTGGCAACCAGTGTCCGTAGGTATGGTATGTGCTTTGCACCTTCTAAGTGCAAAGTACTTCTACAAGACTGGTAGGATTCCAATCCTGTACTCACCCTGGATGGTGAGCAGATAGACGTAGTCGAGAAGTTCGTGTGTCTGGGTAGCTGCATAAGTGCTGGTGGGGGGTGTGAGTGATGAGATCAATGCACGTATAGTGAAAGCCAGAGCGGCTTATGCCAATCTGAGCCACCTTTGGCGCCTTCGTGATGTTAGTCTGGCTGTAAAAGGTCGGATCTACAACGCGTCGGTGAGAGCAGTTCTGCTCTATGTTTGTGAAACCTGGCCTCTCCGAGTTGAGGATGTTAGACGACTCTGTGTTTGATCATCATTGTCTCCAAAGGATTGCTGACATCCAGTGGCAACACCATGTTAGTAATGCAGAGGTTCGGTATCGTGTGTTCGGGCACAGAGATGATAATGCCATTGGTGTCACCATCTTGAAACACCGACTTCGGTGGCTTGGACATGTTCTCCGAATGTCGTCCCAGAGAATTCCACGTCGTGCATTATTTGCCGACTCTGGGACTGGTTGGAAGAAGCGGAGAGGTAGTCAGTGCATGACATGGTGTCGTGGCATATATATATATATATATATATATATATATATATATATATATATATATATATATATATATAATTTTGAATAATTTTTTTTGGTTAGCGTTTTTTTAGCGAGTTAGTTTTCTACGGGATGGGGACGCTAACCCCATGCATGAAAGAAAGCTGCAAAGGACTGGCTTTTGTTGGTCCTTCACGACTCCCTGGTCGGGGTCTGAGAGATGGTGCTACACAGTGGCTAGAGACGTTATCAGATATGGCTCAGAATAGAAGCCAGTGGCGATCCTGCTGTAACCTTCTTTTACTTTCTTCATAAAAAGTGGTTGTGTCTCCCTTACTTGAAAGATTTCTTCCGATTGTACCTTTCCGTTCCCTCATTAGCACGCTTCGACCACCAGGCTTCTCGGTCCTTACGCAAGCTTTGCCCAATTTCCTTACGTAACATCCTTCGTTTATGGTCAAACTCACGGTCACCCGGAGTAGACCGACGGGCTTCAATGAGTTGTAAGGAGCCTGAAGAAACCCAGTGCTTATAAGCGGGACGTTTCGCGAACCCACAACTGACTGTACCCGCCATTTTCATGGCGTCATGCAATTGCAACCAATGCTCATCTATACTTTTCGGTGGAGTGGTAGCTAGCCTAGAGGCTAGCTCGGTTCGACACTTACTTGCAACAGAAGTTGCAACCAGCTTGCTAATATCAATCCGTTGATGGCGGTCACTTCGTTGGCCACTGAAAAGTAAGGCAAGATTGGCGCAGACCAAGGCATGGTCAGAGTCCAGATAGGTACTCCACAAGGAGCGGCAGTCTTGTACACAACCACGCCAGCGGTAGCTGATCGCGATGTGATCAATCTGAGTCCAGGTTTGGGATGCAGAGGGAGGACGCCAGCTGGCACATCGGCGATGACTGTGCCGAAAGTTAGTGCTAGCTAGAAACAGGTTGTGGTCTGTGCAAAGTTGCAGTAGACGGTCCCCGTTATCTGACCTGCGACCAACGAGTCCCCATCGGCCACCTAAACGACTCTCTTCTGTGCCTAGACGCCCGACCTGAGCATTCAAGTCTCCGGCTAGTACTACAATATCTGTCGAACGCACTTTCTGGAGAAGAACAGATAACTGGTGGTAAAACTCATCCTTGATTGCATCCGGGCTGCAATCTTTCGGGGCATAGGCGGAGACGACGAAAAGACATCGTTTCCCACGCCGATTTCTTCTCACTTTGATGGAACTTTCTAGTCTAACAGCACATAACCGTCTGTTTATGGGGATCCAATCGACTAGTGCTGCCTCAGCTCTAGCGCTTGGTGCGACACCAACGCCAGCAAGACCAGCCGAAGATGCCACAGGGTCCCCGGATAAGCGCACGTAAAACAAGCTTTTTGAAGTGACAGATGTAGAGCGAATTTGTAGTACTTCACTTGAGTTTTGAATACGGGTCTCAGATAGACAGCAAACGTCGATATTGATACTTTCCAAAGACATAGCCAGCGAACGTTGAAGGCAGCCAGTTTGAATGGTGCACGTGGTTTCAGAAAAACTGCTTCAGTACTTATATTCGGTGGTAACATACAATTTCCAACCGGACAGTGACTCGAGAACGTTTAGATACAGTCGAATTTCCACCAAAGACGAGCCGCTGTATAAGTATAAAAGAGGGTGAATAATGTGGAAAGTAATAATAATAATAATAATAATAATAATAATAATAATAATAATAATAATAATAATAATAATAATAATAATAATAATAATAATAATAATAATAATAATAATAATAGTATTAATAATGACAATAATAGTAATGATGATAATTTGAATCAATTGTTTTTTGAAGCGAGAAATGTAGTTTTCATAGACATAGAGAGTTCATCATTTGTGTGTGGGCTGTGATACTGCCCGGGTGCTCAAACCGAAGCACGTTGTTATCTTAGGGGGCCACTCCCCGAGCCTTTGACATAAAGGTCTAACCCACAAGACAGTGGAGCATCGTAAGAAGATGCAATCCCATGGCAGCCGGTGACCAACGATTGGTTCATTCGCTATTTGTTCCCGCAGGATACTGGAACCCATGTGCAGCATTGGTTTGTGATCCGGTTAAAGCGCCGGACATTCGCTTTTCGTCCTCTCATTTTCGTAAACAACACCCCCGCCACGAGAAGGCAATGAGTCGGACTTCCCTGGCAGAGGCTATATACGCGCGGCCGTGTGAGAGTATTTCGAGAGGGAGAGCGGACTCTCCCCACTCTCGGCCGTACCAGGGCATTCGGGGGCAGCATCATTGATGAACAGGGTGGATCTGATGCAGATGTGAAGGCGCAGATCGGAAAAGCAAGAGCAGCATATTTACAACTGAGGAACATCTGGAACTCAAAGCAACTGTCAACCAACACCAAGGTCGGGATTTTCAACACAAATGTCAAGACAGTTCTATTATAAGGAGCAGAAACCTGGAGAACTACGAAAGCCATCATCCAGCAGATACAGGTGTTTATTAACAGTTGTCTACGCAAAATACTTCAGATCCGTTGGCCAGACACTATTAGCAACAACGTACTGTGGGAGAGGACAAACCAGATCCCAGCGGAGGAAGGAATCAGGAAGAAGCACTGGAAGTGGATAGGACACACATTGAGGAAAGCACCCAACTGCGTCACAAGACAAGCCCTCACATGGAATCCTCAAGGCCAAAGGAGGAGAAGAGGAAGACCAAAGAACACATTACGCCGAGAAATGGAAATAGACATGAGAAAAATGAACAAGAATTGGATGGAACTAGAAAAGAAGACCCAGGACAGAGTGGGTTGGAGAATGCTGGTCGGCGGCCTATGCTCCATTGCGAGTAACAAGCGTGAGTAATATATATATATATATATATATATATATATATATATATATATATATATATATATATATATATATATATATATATATATATATATATAGTGTCACTAAAGTTTGCGAAAACCTGTGAACACTTCATTAACTCAACTGTAATATGGTAAGTAGTCTGTGCTAAATTAGTAAGTGTTGAATTTCAACTTAGCGTAAACATATAAATTTACACACTACACAAACTGGAGTACAAATGGGAAATGCATGCTGTAAACTTTATTGTTTAGAACATAGTATACAACTAAATGGTTTGATACTAACTATTGAATTCTTTAATCAACAAGATAGTATGTTTAATACAATTTTCTCCAGCAAAATTCCGGAAAATACGCATTAAATGTTTCATTTATAGATTTAGGACCTAATGTTATTGATGAAGTGAGAACTGATCCACACAAACAACTATTTCATCCAGAACAAATAATCACAGGAAACGATGCGACAAGTAATCATCCTCGAGGCCACTATACGGTTAGCAAAGACAGTATTGGCCTGGTTCTGGATCGCATTAGAAGATCTGCTGATCAGTGCACGGTTTTCTTAATTTTTCATTCATTTGAAGGAGGTACTTGGTCTGGATCACATCATTGTTAATGGAGAGATTGAGCGTAGAATATGGTAAACAGTTTAATCTTGAATTCGCTGTTTATACAGCAATAAAGATTGCTACAACTGATGTTGAAACATACAATACAATTATTATCACCCATGCAACACTAGAGCATCCAGATTGTGCTTTCGTGGCGGATAAACGGGCAATTTACTATATTTGCGGGTAACTAACATGTGACAGTTACAAACCAGTTGAATTTTATTTTTCTCAGGAAAATTCATCTATTTGTTTATTTAAACACAAATGTTAGTACGAGGGAGCAACAAATACACATGCGCCACACTTTAACATATGATTTGTGTGAGGGACGGGATACCGCGCGAGTGCCCAAACCGAAGTACGTAGTTTTCTAAGGGGGCCACACCCGGAGTCTTAGACCTAAAGGTCCAACCCATAAGACAGCGGAGAAACGTAAGGGGATGCATTCTCGTGGCAGCCGGTGACCAACAATAGGTTTATACGCCATTTGGTTCTTCAGAATCCTGGAGCCCATGTTCACCATTGGTTCGAAATCAGGGTCTTCCAACCCCCCTAGGTGGGTCTCCATATCCATCGATCCGGTGAAAGCACCGGACATTCGCCTTTTGTCCTCTCAATTGCGTAAACAAAACCCCCACCTCGAGGCGGTGAGCAGGACTTTCCTGGCAGTGGTTGTATATGAGTGGCCATGTAAAAGGATTTCGGGAGGGAGAGCGGACTTCCCACCCTCGGCCGTACCCGGGCATTCGGGGGCCGTAACATAAGAAGACCTAATTATTTAAATCTAACGAGACTGATCGCTTGAATTTTTACTTCCATCACTGCTTTAATTTTCTTTCAAATGATTAAACGTGACCTACGTAGTGGGAAATATATGGAGTATTGCTTATTATACCGTGATGTTACTCCTAAAGATGTTAATATGGTCATCGCAAGTATAAGAACTAACGGAACGGTCCAATTTGTTGTCCAACTGGATTCAAAGTTGCAGTTAATTGTCAACCTCCAGCATCCAGACATAATGATGACTTAGCTAAAGATCAAAGAGCTGTACGTATGCTAAGTAATACAACTGCAATTTCAGAAGCATGGATGAAACTGGATGGTAAACTTGATTTAATGTATTCGGAACACCAATTTGTTCATTGGTATGTAAATGAAGGTATGAAAGAAAGTGAATTCAGTGAAGCACAAGAAGATATAGCTACTTTAGAAAAGATTATGAAGAGATTGGTCAATAAACACTTAATAGAGGTGAAAACGGATTTCGACTGTTACTTTTACAGGAGCTTCACCCAGTCAGTCACAACGTACAACTTCGCACGTACGTACATCAGTTCGAGTTGCTATACCACATTAGCAGAGAGATACAATTGTCGATTCAAATCCCATGGTGGTAGAGGTAGTAAAAGTATAAGCAGTGATCAGAAAGATTAGTTTTTGAAGATGTTATTCAAGGAGCATAATCCAGTGAAATAAATTTGGAAAGAGAAGAAAGGGCATGAAGAATTCAGAAGATTGGAATATGGGAAAACACAAAGAGTGGATGCACCTGCGCCATCGCAAACGATTTTGAGTCATGTCATTCAAAGTCTCTAACCATCGGTTGCCATCGTCTCGCAAATCCCAACCAGGTGGTCTACACCTGCCAACGTGGCTCAGTCCACTTGTCAATGACTTCACGGATTTGTGCCATGTTTGGTCTCGCGATCCCTAGCTTTATTCCAACCTATTCCTAAACTATAAAACATAGCACGTCTGTGGTTGGGCATACGTAACACGTGTCCCGGCCATCTAAACTGATGAAGTCTCACTACTTCATCAATTGATTTGCCATCCTTACCTAGTACCCGTTTCCTAACAACTGTGTTACTTACTCGGTGGTCCCATGATATACGAGCAATGTTTCGAAGACACCTATGATCAAATACTAGTAACCTACGGATATCCTCCACTCTTACCGGCCATGTTTCACTGCCATAAAGTAGGACGGAACGAACTGCTGCGCAGTAAACACGTCCTTTGGTTGATAGACGGACATCTCACCTACGCCATAAATGACTCAGGTTAGAAAAAGCTAGTTGAGCCTTCTCTGTCCGTGCTGAGATTTCGTCACACACCAGAACACAAGAGTTGATGAGATTCCCAAGATAAGTGAAGCGGTTGACACACTCAACTACTCCACTCCCTATCATTAGTTCATGTGTCCGTTCAACCCAATCCTGAAGCAACATTTTGCATTTCGAGGAAGGGAATCGCATCCGAATATGTTTGCATTGTTGATTAGAGTGGTCAGAAGACTGCATTCTGTAAGCGTCTTCACCAAAAAGAACTATGTCATCGGTATATTCCAAGTCAGTAAGTGAATCTTCCGGTAAAAGTTCAGGAGCCTCACTAACTACTGAGAGCAAATCAATTGCGATCAGTCAGGTATATTCAGACGAAATGATCATACCTTTTTTTGGATAATTATTTGCAATACATTGTTCGTTTTAACTATACTCTTTCAATGGGTCAACACGTTATCAAATGGATAATATATGTATGGTTTATCATTTTTGTGCCTTAACGCTACGCAAGTGTAGAAGATTGTATGAAGTAGTGGTAGTCTATAGGATACCCAAAACACCTGTATTCGTACCAATGAACTAAAAGGAGAGGCGGCATCCCAGCATTATGTGACTATACGGTGATGCATGTTACTTATGTTGATAGTTATGAACAGTATATAGCATCGGTTAGAAGTGAAGTGCCTGAGAGCAGAAGAATGATAACACAGAAAACTAAGAGCAATCGAGATAACAGATATGAAGGAACAATGAAGTTTGTAAGGAAAAGTTCGAAAATGTGCAAATTACGTATCTAATGTATAGTTTTCACATTTTACTGAACCACTGTGACTTCGAACTGAACAAATTGGTTCGCCCACCTGAGTTCTTCGTTTACAACAGTACTATATCACCTGTAGAAGACGACTACGAAGAAGCTCAAGTATCCTCTAGCTACTTTTAGAGATACTATACCGTAGAGACCCCTTTCCATACGGTTCCTATAAACCCCGCATCCGTACTCTAGACATTGTGACCATGAGAAAAACTCAATATTTTGATTAGTTAAATAAGCTCGCATAGGTTAATTCATTGGACCCGATGGAACATAACCTAGATTCTCAAAAATCCAGCAGATTTCTATCGCGAATCTCTTAAACATGTTTCGATCTACTTATAACCCAAGGTAGATTAGTAAAGAACTGGAAGAATGCCAAATTAAGTCATGTCTTCGAGACAAGTACGAAACAAACCTGAAAAACATAGATATGCAAGGCCAACCAGCGTGGTTGTTTAGATTTTAGAGGTTATTCGGAAATATCTAGGCGAAAATCTGGTCCTTTCTGAAAGGTAGCACGGTTCCAGGAAGCCCGTGAGAGTTGGTGTTATATCGACTAAAGGGTACCTATGAATGTAGCCCTCATCGACTGCAGTAAGGCTTCTGATAAACTTCCACACATCATCCTGTTATTTAAATCAAATGATATCGGGATTAGAGGCAACTGATTTATGTGGATAAGAACTTTCCCCGTTGGGGATCAATCCCAGGTGTTCTAACCGAGAGACTGTACTTAGTGGAGTCCTGGGATAGTTTCGGTGCGTATTATTCATACAGTATGTAAATAACCTTATCCTATCATCGAATTCGTTATATGCTGACGGTATCAAGAAAAAATGGGGAGCGAGAAAATGAAAGATTAGAGCCTCAAAATGACATGCAGCCATCTCGTTACTCTAAAATTTGTCAATAAGGGCACCCATGCGTGATATAATGCATATTGGTCATCAAAATACAGATACATACATGACAAGTGACATCAAGCAACCTGTTCCTCAGAAACAATAACCTGAAGTTCATCGTTGGTTGAAACTTAAAAACTACACCTTGTTATGCAATAGCTGCCTACGGTCTCAGAAACCTCTGGTCATAACGTGGAGCCGGCGGTCATGTCGATGTTGAGACCTTTAGGACTTTACCGTGTTTATTTGGCCTAAACCTGAATAATGCATACAAGCAGCCATCCCGTCCAAAATAAGAGAATGAACTGATGGCAAAGATACAGAGTACAAAACTCCCGTAAACGAGACTATCTAAACAGAAGGAGCAGAGGTGACTTGACCACATATTTTAATGATGAACTAGCGAATAACATACCAACATCCTTTTCTCTCAAAACGAAATTTACGAGAAATTCCTGGGAATACCCATTTGGCTAAATCGTTTCAGTTCGTGATGAAAACCCTAAATATAGTTCCTAACCTTAACGATCAACCATAAATCATAATTCTAGTTCTTCGCCCTGGTTTATAAACCTTATTTGGTCTTAGTTAGTAGGTGGGTATCCTCAAGATCACTTCAGCGTCTCTAGGTCCTAAATAAATTATAGTCCCACCCAAATTATTTGTCAAGTGCTTATCAACTTTCTCATCGAGTCATCAACAATGAAGCTCATCCACTCAACATGTGGTTAAAACTTCATCTTTTGACGCACTCAAAAGATGGATCGGCTGAGACCAACGCCGCTTGGACTAAAACAGGTCACCCGCCCTTCTATATTTTCTAGACTGAGACTACTGTGACTGAGGGATGTATTGGCAAGACAATTATTAGCATAAAGCGCACTTAATAGTCTGAACAAAACCCCGTTAATCTTAGGAGCAGTTACAACACTCGATCCGTCAGTCTTCATACTGAAACTATGTGCTTACCATCGATAAGCATATTTAACGTCATTACAGTCATCTATTCAAAAAGAGGATGATTTGACCAGCAATTTATTACATGGACATATTATTTAAGAGGGATAAACCTGGAACTGTGAGTAGCACCAACACCAGGTCTGCCGTGCTTGACAGGCTTATAGGTTATTGAAAATTCTCCGAGGTAGTGGCCGAGCATTTCAGGTCTGATCTCGACAGTGTTAAATGACTTTCCGTTATAAACACCAACAACTGATCCGATCATCTCGGGAAGAACAATCATATCTCTGATATGAGTTTTGACAGCCTGAAGACAATATATATAATAGGTACTTACAGCCGGCTTTTCACCAAAAGGACATTCTTTCTTGCTTTTCCTAAGCTTTTTTAGAAGCGTCATGTGTTTATTACGAAGTTTCTTTTTAATTCTTCTGCGTATCCGAGCAGGCATCAGCTGGGCTAATTGATCTCTAACAAGAATTTTCGGTCATATTAAAAAAAACTACACACAAGTTCATATCCAGAAGCTGGTCTAAATCAACACCTCGATAGAAGAACTTCTTGAAGGGTCTACGTTTCTTGATGGTTTCTTCAGCCTACGAGCGCTAGAAATATAAGAATCCGCAACTTACCATTACGAAACTCAGGTCGTGACTTTCTAACTTTGCCGCCTCCGACAAAAAAGTGAGTTAAAGATTTCAAGGCTATCCAAAAGTGAAAATCTAGTGCTAACTGATACAATCTCTCACATTTTAAAGACAGACTAGGGTGAAGCTTCTAATCAAGAAACTAAAATATTGGGTAACTGGACACTATGTGATTACTTTCTTCAGTCTCCAGTAATAATTATAGTAGGTTGATAAACCTGTGTTAATCCTGACGCACTGCTTTCCAGTGTAGGTCCAGCTTCTCCTTGAAAGTATTCACTGATGAGGCTGATACCACTTGTTTGGGTAAGGCGGTCCAGTCATTGACTACTCGATGAGAAAAACGGGACCCCACTTTAAGTTTATTAGATATTGGTTTATGAACCTTCTTGCTATGACCTCGGAGGTTATTAGTGCTAGAGGGAGCAAAAAGATAAGACGTATTAACACCCAAATCATAATTAAAGATACGAAATGCCAGTATAAGGTCACCTCGTGTCCTACGATACGACAAGGGGAAAAGATTTAGGCGTTTTAAACGCCCATCGTAAGGGAGTCTAGAAAGACCCTTCACTAATTTCGTTCCTACACGCTGGACACGCTCAAGTGAGTTAGTATCCATAACCAGACACGGGCTAGCTGCTTGGATACAGTACTCTAAATGTGGTCTTACATATATGGGATATAAAATTCGAAACGTTTCCTCGTCAAAAGATTTGAACGCTCGGCGGAGTGACCATAACGCACGAAAACCTTTGACAGCGGCTGCTTTGCAATGCGTAGTTGTTTTTAAATCATGACTTAATACTACTCCCAAGTCTTTATGCTCTTGAGCACATGGGCGAGGTTTACCTTCAATATTATAACGGTAACTACCACCGTGACTGATGTGCATTAGCACACTTTTCCTAGCATTGATTTCTAAGCTTAACTCTCAAGCCGATCTAACTAAATCGTCTAAGTCAGCTTGAAGATCCAGATGATCAGCCTCACCTTTTATTGTTCTCCAGATTTTTACGTCATCCGCAAACAATAATGTCGACGACCTAAGTAAGAGCGGTAACTCATTAACGTAGAGAAGGAAGAGCAGGGAGCCTAAGATGGTGCCTTGGAGTACACTACTTTTGACCGGCTTCCAATCGGATAGCGTCCCGTTGACCCTCACTCTCTGTCTGCGGTCACATAAGAAATTTCCTACCCATGCATGTACAGTACCTATTATTCCGAAGCTCGTGAGCTTCTGCATTAGACCTACGTGTGGAAGCTTGTCAAATGCTTTGCTAAAATCTATGAATATCACGTCGACAGACAGACCGTTATCTAGGGCTGCTGTCCAATCCTCCCTCGCAATAAGCAAGTTAGTCAAGCATGAACGCTTGTTACGAAATCCGTGTTGCTCACGAGCTAACAGATTGTGTAAATCTATGTGGCTTAGCAACCTAACCCGAATTAACTTTTCAAGTAACTTAACGACTATGCTAGTTGGACTAACAGGTCGGTAGTTAGATGCTATCTGTCTCTGACCGTCCTTAAATATAGGACTAACTATAGCATCCTTCCAATCTCTAGAGAGTTGAGCGAGTGAAAGGGACATGTTGAAGAGTGTTGCGAGAGGTTTTGAAATAATGTCCGCAAGAGATGACAGCAACCGTGGATGTAACCCGTCAGGGCCCGGTGTCTTACCAAGTTTGAGGTTAGCTATCAACGGAAGGACAGTTTTCTCAGTCACCTGTACAGATTCAATGGTTGGTATCACGGTGTGAGTGGGACAAGTATTAGTTACAATAAACGTAGAGTAGACTTCGCTAAAATAGTTTGAAAAAGTATCAGCTCTTGCTCGATCCGATTCAGCTAGTAATTCTGAATTTTCGTGTAACAGTAACGGAGGAATACCATCACTACGTTTCATTCACCGTTTAACATACGTAAACAATCGTATCGGACAAGTACGGCTATCATATACTAGCTGTCGTTCGTAAGTGATACGGGATTTGGCTATGGTTTTCTGTGGTGTTTGAATTAACTAATGATTCTTTTGTACTTGTTGAATGCTCGATTTCGAATTCTAAATACAGTACATTCGTTGTGCCTGTGTCTTCTTAATTCAATTGCGTTAATCCTGGAATTCCTAATTCATACTATAATTAGAATACTATATTGACGTCGCGATGGAGCCTGCAATGGAAAAGTTAGATATTCATTCAACTTCAGAAGCTTTTGAAGATTACTTTGAAAGGTTCGAAATCTGGGCTATGACCAAGGAAGATGATGAGGATGTTAATATTGTGGCACACTTCCTCACATTCATTGGAAAAGAAGCATACAGCTTATTAAGAACTCTGGCTATGCCGGAAAAACCCATTTCGCTTTCTTATACAGCTCTCAAGGATCTACTGCTAGACTATGCTCAGTATACAAATTTCAAATGTCGTAAAGGAGGAAGATTTCGTAAAATGATTCATGAGGATATAAAAAAGTCCACTACATTACTACGTCATCTCAACCTAGTGCATACTCAAGGTTATGCAGACAATTCATTGAATTTGGATGGAGTTCACGAGGATGGGGACAAGTTTGGTCAGTGTTTGTCCTGTTGCAAGTTCCACTCTTCTAATTCATGTAAATTTCATAATTCTAAATGCTTCAAATGTGATATTGGACAAGTTCAGTCAGTTTGTAATGCTAATGTTCATCTTACTGCAATTAATATTAAGTCTTGTAATTCTGATTCTACTGAGTCGAGTATTCATGATGATCATTTATCTTTATCAACGATTTCAAAAGACAGTGCAGAGTCATATGGCAGTTCAGAGTTAAATGAAATCCAGAATTCTTGTGAGACAACATTTCCTAATCAACCGATTTATCAGAATTCTCATGCTATTGTACCAAGTATGACTTTTCCTAATGATTCACATATTTCTAATGAAATTACTTGCAATTCTGAGGAAAATATGTTAAATGAACCTAATCATGATCGAAAACCTGATGTGGTTTGGATAGATGCTGATTTTTCTAACGATCCTACGCTCTGCAACGACAGTCCTGATGAATTTCATGAGAATATTTCAGAAGAATCAAATCCTGATGTCATATCATATATTACCTATCCTCATAATGTATTTGATCTTCGTGAAAAACCTGCCCAATGCGAAGCACGAGTACTAAGTGACCTCGAGTTTTATTATATTTCGGATGATTTCATATCAACTGCTGTTTACTCTTATCACAAAAACAGTTCTAATGTTTACTCTAAACAATGTGAGATATATGTTTTAAATGAAGCCACATTATTCATAACTTGGGAGTATAAAGATCCAACATTATTTCGTGGGGGGGGATAGTGTTGAAAAATCTATGGTTCGAATTCTAGATATTAATGATTTCATTACAAAACCGACATGCTGGTTGTATACAATTCCAGGTGAGTCTGTTCCGATTTCGTTTGTTAATTCCAATACTAATGAACACTTTCTAGATACTACAAAGTTTTTATCTTATACAATGTCGGACAGACTCAGGATGAACTTAACAAGAAGACGTACAACCGATTACAAACACTCATACTTCTATTTAAGCTGTGGCGGATGTGGTGTTTGAATTAACTAGTGATTCTTTTGTACTTGTTGAATGCTCGATTTCGAATTCTAAATACAGTACATTCGTTGTGCCTGTGTCTTCTTAATTCAATTGCGTTAATCCTGGAATTCCTAATTCATACGATAATTCGAATACTATATTTTCTCACAGATATTATGTAATTTTTGGTACTCACGCTTAAATGGTGCATAACCTGTCAGTAAGAATAAGTCCCAGAAATGTTTCCTACGCTTTAACAGCTTCCGGGTTTCCTTATTAATCCATGGACAGCAATGTGATAGCTTACGTGCTGACCATGGGATAAACGGTGACGTTACGGACTCGAATGTAGCCTTAAACTTATTCCATTCATCTTCGATCAATCCATCCGCGTCGACCGACCAATCATTCGAGATAGCACAGTCTCTGATTGCAGGAATATTGGCTCGCCAGATATTGGGACGGGTTGGAGCAGATACGAATTGTATACCATGTGTCCTAAACTTAAAGTGAATTACAACGTGATCACTGTTCACTAGTGGAGAAAGGTGCTGGATATCAAAGACATCCTTACAGTGGTGGGTGAGGGCGAGGTCCAGCAGTGACGGATCATGTTGCAAATCAATATGTGTCGGTTTTGTGATACATTGTACAAGTGCACACTGAATAACGGTAGATAAAAGGTCGCTATCGAAACCACTACCTGGAGCTGTAAGCTCTATCCAGTTGATATGCGGTGCGTTGAAGTCCCCAATGATGAGACATCCTGCCATATTCCAAGAACAGATGTGTCCTAGGATAAAGTCGTCAGCAAGACAAAACGTACTACGGTATATTCCCCATATAGTCACTAACCCATTTCTAGATTTAATCTTACAACATGCAACCTCACATGTGCCACTGATATGAGCCTCCGATATTGTTGATTGTATACGAAAGTGATCTCTAACGTATAATATTATACCTACAACTTTGCGAATTGAAACTCTATCACTTCTAATACAGATATAGCCTGCAATGAACGGAGAACAGTCTATATCTACTGTGAACCAAGTTTCTGTAACAACGATTATATCGGGACATAATTCTTCCACCATTAGACTTAGCTCGGACGTTTTATTTCTAAGACTACGAGCGTTCGTGTAGCACACACTTAAGGTGTTTTGGCAATCAATCGTTCTGCCCATACAGGCCTCGGAAGCATTGGCTTCCCAGACCTGACTTTCTAAGCCTAAATAGTTTTCTGATATTAGGTAGTGATGAAAACTTAAATATTTTACAGCAATAATGCTAGTTGGAGTTTGGTATATTTTGAGAAATAGTCGGTTTGTTCCACTTGAACGAGACTACTTTTATAGGCTGTCGTTGCTTCGCTATACGTTTGTTCGTTCGGTCATGAAATGAAAGGCACAGTGGACAGTAGGAATAGTACACACAGAAGATAAAATAATAGTCTTAAGAACTCAATTTATC